AACTTGACTTTCTTACATCAGTACATGACACGGGTGTCAGAAAGAAAGAGACAAGTATGTAATACATTCCACCACTGACGCCGCCAGTTCACTCAAAGATGCAAATGGAAAAGCACATTTTCCACCTTTGCACTGGACCTGAGGTTCCAGACTCCAAATGTGGAAAGACTGAGCCATGGAAAGGGGCTTCCCTGTGTGTGAAGTCATAAATCATCACTGACTATCAAAGGATTCCCTGCCTGTGCAATGAGCTGTATCCTCACATAGCCATGTTGGCTGTGCAGTGCATCAATGCCCTCTCTGAATGATTCTGTTTATAGACGGAGTGGGATTAATCAGATTTTCTGAAACGTAGATACTTAAACAAGGCACCATTTAAGATTCCCAGATGTGATACGAGAGAGCTCCATCAGACAGAAGTTGAAAACAGTAGACAGGTGGCTATCAACTGTGGATTGTCTGAGCCTTCTTTAGGAGAGTGAGGGAGGAATCAATATTACTGACCACGGTATATTTGTGTCCTAAATTTAGACTCCGAGCTCTATTTGGAGATCAAAGCATAGCAATACGGGCCTATGTAGGACTCCAACATGCAAACCTCCACCTCTTGTCAATCTCTCATCTGGCATTTTCCCATCCCCAAGTGCCACATGGGTCTGTAATATCACTCATTGTGAGGGCTAAGTGCACAGCTGCAAGGACTGGACAGGATCAGACAGCTGCCCCTGTGACTCACCGGAGAAGCCTCTCATCACACTGCCTCAAAAGGAATGGCATGTTTGTGTTTGTCGACAAGACTGCTCAGTGTTTGCATGCGTGTAGGTGGATTAACATCAGATTCATTATTATGGGGGGAAAAAATAGGAATTATTCCAACATTTGTAAATCCAAATAAAAGATTTCTTCAGGCGATACAGGCAGATTTTATCCATTAATATCACACAGTAGGATCACCAGTCCAATAAAATGACAATTTATTTATTCAGTTTTCAAATGGATTCATTATGATAGATTGTAGAACAGAAATGTGCATTCTTGTTTTTGGTAATCAGTCCAGAGAGCTAAATTGTGACACAACAGAGATATTTTGAAAATCAGCAAGTATTTGCAACAATCAATATTTTATGACACGCTGTCCATGAAAACATGCTTGATGATTATTATAGCTGTTTGTACAACGTATGAACAGACAGTGAGTGTAACATGCTAGCGGCTCGATTCAAAGCTGGTGTCTGAGCGACCGTAGTGAAGGCTGCAGGCAGTCTCTCTCTCTCTGTCCATGGCAACAGTCAGTTACATTTCCACCGTCTAATAACATCTCAGTTATTTAAAGTATTTTTTCATTTCTCGGTTCATATAAGCAAGTTTCTTTTTTTTTTGCTTGTCAGATTCTGTCTACATTTTTTTTTGCATTGTAATCATTCTATGCATTATGAACTAATTTGGACTCTCACTCTGTTCAGATGTTGTATATTTAATGTGTTTTGATTCATGGGTGGCTCAGGTTTTATTTGCCTCTCCTGGCAAACAAACACAAACAAACGTGTACTTGTTTTTCTAGTTGAGTTTTCCATGACATATACTCATGCATCTTAGGAAAAGAAACATTACTAAGTAAGCTTTCTCTCACTGGGCAGAATCCACCCAAACAGCCATTCTCTTGGCACCAGTCAGGAAATGTATACACACAGTGGACCGACTTTTCCACTGCTTGTTAGTGGAGAGGGAGAGGAAGGTAGCATGGAGACGCTAATGGGCTTATACCATATTCAGCCACAAGCTCTTCGTCTTGTGCTTTGTAATCAGGCTGGAAAACCTAAACAGGGCTCGCTCATATAATCAGAATTTCCGAGTAGCGTAAATAGGGAAACGTGCCCCGCCCATGTTCCCAGGCCAAAACGCTGTTTTCACACTATCTGTGTCTGTGTGTTGACATTACACAAAATAGGTTTGAGGTCATGTATTTTCTATTTAACATCAACTGTTTTCTATTACACGTTTTGATCAAAATTGTAATAGAATTTAATTGATGTTTTTTATTTTTTCGAGTAAATATTTGGAAATGATGCATGTTTAAAAAGACATCGAACCAGGAAATCCATTAAGCCACTCATGGGTGCTTTTAGGCCAATTGAGTCATTTATGTGTGAACGTTACATATCATTTAAGTTCTTCGGAAAAACCTAAGACATCGAAAACATAGTATTTAATTTTTGTTGTCCGTTTTTAGACCTTCCACATGAAACAAAGACGTCCATGTGAAGTCACTATAGTGGCCTCCTGTGCAACCACAATATGCAATGTCCTTCCCTTTTCTTTTTCTTTTTTTTTGCAGCAAAAATGCTTTATTTTTGGCACCAAAAAAGGAGATATTGAACACTTTCCTGTGAAATGTTGCAGCAGAAGTAGTGCTCACAGATGGGAAAAACATGTCTTTCTCTATTGGTATTATGGAACTGGAACTTTGTTTGGTTCAAAACGCATGCGCTCTCCTGCCTACTGCTGCAGAGATGTCACCTGTTTTCCCAGCTAAACTTCACCATTCACCCGGGACAACAGGAGGGTTTGGTTGCCGTGGAGACGGAGAGCTCTGTTTATTTGTTACTGCGGGGGTGGGAGGGTGTTGTTTTGAGGGTGGAGAGTGGAGAGTGGTGGGTGGGGTGGGGGGGGTGTCTGTGGCACTGAGCAATGCAGTGGCTGGTAGCCAGAGAACAGGAAATGGAATTCAGAGGGAAAGGCCAGCTGAAAATAAACCCATACAGAGCGTGTTGGCCAGGTTCACTGAACACAGCACCAGATAAGGAGGCAAAGCCCCTTTTATGATAGGATCGCATGGCAGCGTTCAAACAGCCCGGAGAGATGTGATGCTTATTTGATCTGACAGGTGTTTTTCTTTCAGAAGTGACCTATAATTTTACAGTAATCTGTCCCTTCTTTTGAGGTGTGAAGGTGCAGATATCTTTTATAATTATTATCATATATCATTTATTACAGTGTCCCTTTACAGATGAAGATGAAAAAACACAGGGGGGTGGAGGTAAAAGTGATTTGTAGTTTGATAAATTAGAGGTCTTTAGCTTCAAGCGGTTAGCACCATCTCTTCACAGCGGGACGGTTCGTGGTTTGAATCCAGGCCGGGGCTTTTCTGTGCGGATGCTTGCATGTTTCCTGTGATGCACTGGTGACCTGCGGAGGGTGTGCCCTTCCCAATGACAGCTGGGATAAGCCCCAACATCCCTGTGTTACTAATTTTGATAAAACAGGCAAAAATATGGATAAAATATAGAATGTAGATGATTGTTCCACGGGAGTTTAGACCATGAAGATTCTTACTGATGTCTGCTGACCTCCTATACATATATATATGTATATTTCATATATATATATATATATATATATATATGTACATTCTTATGTGTATACTGCTTCCAATTCAGTGGTTTTGAACATTGTAATATGAGCAGTGACTCATCATAGTTTCAGAACAACTGTTGCTCTGCAGATGCGTGTCTACATTTAGCCGAATGTGAAAAATAGGCTTACTAAATAGCCTCCTCCTTTTTCAGGGCTAACATTGGAAAAACAGAAAGGGGCCCCAATTTAGTGTTTCACCGAGAACATGTGACAAGCTCTGTAAGAAGGAAATCATGCCAGTGTATGAGTTTACCTCCACCTGTATCTCACTTTCATCTCATTTTTAAATACCAAAACACCATCAGTAGGTTGATTTGTGAATGCATTGTGAATGCATAATTATTCATTTCTAATATAGTCGATTACATTTCAACTGTATCTTTTTCATTCAACATTCTACATGGTCTTGTGTGTATCTTGTGAAATTGAAGGTAATGAATACAGGTGGAGAAATCTGAATCTATAGATTTAATGCCAATGGCAACCAAGCATAGAATGATTCAATATTGAAGCAGAGTGTTTCTCTGATGTGCAGCAGACCACAAATTCCCCAGACGGTCATGAAAAAACGGTTTGTGGCACCAAATCCTTAGTGGGATTCTGCCTCTGTTGGAGGAGGAAATCTGGGGTCAAGCTGACAGTGTCTCACTTGAACAGGACAACCTGGCTGCCGCAGTAATATTTAATTCATAGCAGAATTTAGGAACTGTTCGGTATTCTTTGAGTCATGTTTCAAAGTCAGGCGCTTTAGCTTTGAATTCAAGAAAAAAACCTCAATGTTGTTTATGTGGAATTTTATCCATCTGGCTTCTCAGGATTAAAGTGAAGGAAAAAAGGTGAAAACTGACATTTAAAGAAAGGCATGTGTCTTTACTTGTGGTTCACTTTCTGTTTTGTTTGTCTGAAACAGATACTGTGGTCTTACAATTTTAGATGTCCACATAAAAATGTTTTTGCACAGGTGTGAAACTGCTTTACTGACTCATTGCAGACTTACTAATGGACCGTCTCTCTGAGGCAACTTGATCTTTCCATTGACGTTCCTTAAATTTTTCTATTGAGAATGTATTCAAATTGCAACAGCCTCTTATGAAATAGGTTTGAAATTTCAGATTCAGGAAAGGGAGACTTAACCTTTTTTAAAGAAAGGATTGCAAACGTCAGGAAATGCTGTGGTTAGATGCATTCGCGTGTAAAAAAAAAAAAAAAGATCCATTCGCATGTTGGCTTTGGTTTCACTATGACTACAGCTGCAGACAATGTGTGCTTTCTGCCAAACCCAGTTGTTTTATCATTGCTTCAAAGATGTGCAGCACAATTAATTTTATACAGCAGCCTATCTTTTTTTATTTTGTTTTAAATTTTGAACAACTGCTGCTGTTGGCACATGGTGGATGTCACCACCAGATGGCGCTCTGCATCAGCCGTGAGCTGAGCGTTCAGATGATGGCTGACTGCAAATCGTCCTTCCAAGCTTTATTTAACATTGTACAAAAAACTGTTACATAGCTACAAAAGTTACCCTAATGAGTGAGGTGCCAGTGCATGTTATTCTGCCTCTTACCCTTTCTGTTTTCAACTCACAGGACCAAATGAAGCAGCCAAAGGCATCCAAATCCAAGACTGCAGAGACTGTCGGAGGTATAGCAGCGGAGGGCCTCGAGCAGATCCCAGAAGACGAAAACGAAGGCGAGAGAGCCAATCTCAATTCAGATGAAGAGGTGGAGCTTGACGAGGTGGTTGTAGAGACTCGTACGAAGCGCCTCCAACAGCAAGTTGACAACATAAAGAAAGCCTTCTCCAAAGAGAAAATGGAGAAGACCAAACTAAAGACAAAGGAAAACCTGGAGAAGACCAGGCAGAAAACCCGCGACAACCTGGAGAAGACAAGGCAGAAAACCCGTGACAACCTGGAGAAAACAAAGCACAACCTGGAGAAAAAGATCGGCAAACTCGGGACCCGCATGACTCCCAACATGGAACGCAGAGCAAAAATGAAAAGCTCCAAAGACAAGCTGAAGAAGTCCCTCACTCCCGACCATAAAGTCCACGCTCGTTCCAAGTCAACTGTGTACCGAGTTCCACCCTTTACCTTCCATGTCAAGAAGATCCGAGAAGGGGAGGTGGAGGTGGTGCAGACCACAGAGATGGTGGAGGTAACTGAGGCAGAGGCTAAAGCAAGTGGAGAGGAGAATGAGATGGGCGTGCACTCAGAGGTGGAGGAAGGGGAGCTGGTGGATGTAGACAGCCCAGAAATGCCGGCTCTATTAGAAGTCACTGAAGACTCTCAGCTGGTCAGAGTGGAACCAGAATATCTAAAGAAGGCTCAAAGCGAGTAGATGCTCAACACAACAGTGAAGGAAAAAACCCAAAGACGAAGAAGGAAACAGTCTCTGTGAATGAGTCTCAACAATAGAAGATTTATGATGGTCATGGGGATTGTGTAGAGGTGATCACAACCTGACATCTCATTTGTCCTCTGTTCTGTTTTTATCTGATGCAACATGGATAATTTCCCATTTGCTTGTATTTACCTGAGAAGTATTCGCAACTAAACAATTAATAAGCTAGTGTTTGAAACATCCTCAACTAGCGGGTTGTGTTAGACTTCCAGGAAATTTGCTGTTTGTTTTTGATTTGATTAACTGTATATCTCGAAAAAAAGAATGAATAGTACTTATTTTGATGTAATGTTATGTTTTTCCAATGTATGACATGTACATTTGTATGGCAAACAGCAGTAGTGATTTATTCAGGAGTGAATGACTTCATGCAATGAGCATGTGCAAGGATTAAGCCTTTAGAAAAGATTGAAAGAGTGTTGGATGAGAATAAAAGTGTGGGGCGAGATTCAAAATAACCGCTTTAAAAAATGTAAATCATTATCTGTGGAGGCAAGGGTGCATACGGTTTGTGACAACAGTCACTCAAGAAATACACAAGATATGACAACATGTACTGCCCATTTTCGGAGATGATGGATGTCTAATAAATAATGTTTGTGACTTTGATATGCCGTCTATTCTAAATATCAGAATGTTTAAACACCTACAGAAATGACAAAAATCTAAATATTATTTTTTGCTCGATGAAACACTTAAATTGAATTTAATAAATAATTAATCTTTTATAAGGAAGAAAATCACTTAAATGTACATTGTTAGAGCTTGGATATGCATTTTCTTTTAAACTACTGTGTGGGAAATATTTTTTACAACTCTTTTCTTGGTCCATATTTAGTCAAAAGGTAGTGTTTGAGCTTCAGTTAGAATGGAAGCTCTGCTGCACTTTATGTTATCAAAGTACAGCGATTAGTCTTTTCCTGTGATCTTCTAATGTGCTTTTAGCAGGTCATATCTGCTGCAGGTTACTCTCCAGGATTTGTTGGAACAATTTCTGCACAGCGTAGAAAAAAACAAAACAAATGTGACATCAAGTCTTTGGAAAGGTGCAGAAATATGCATGTCATCCTGAACATAATTGAATTAAACACCTCTGAGTCATACACATGAGTCGTTATCATAAAATAAAATTAAGGAAGATGGTTATAACTGTTATATTTTCTGAGCTTGATGCGAACAGTGGTAGAGTTCAGCCAATGATATTTTAGATATTGGCAGGGAGGCACACAAGGACTCCAGACAGGCATGAGGTGAGTGTCTCACTTATTATTTTCCCACCCTGCAGACTTGTCTGACCTTGATGTGTTCGTGGCAGAGGCAGGGGCGGCATGTGGCAAGGACATCCATTAAAATAATCAATAGGTGGGGAAATCCAATTAAGGAGAGTGCTGTCTCTGAACAGAGCAGCATTGAGAAAGGGAGCAAGGCAAAATGCATGTGTGTGTGATGGTGTAATGGTGAAGAATATAAAGTATGTGCACAGTGTGTCTAAGCACAAGGAAGAAATGTATACAAAATAATAATAAAAAAGGTTACAATGCATGTGACAGAAAACTTACCATTGTTCTGATTTTTGTCAAATACATCTGGACTGTCTAAATTGATACTTGCAACTTGAAGAAATGTGTGTATTTTAATTGTATGGTTATAAAATGCTGGCACCACATTAAATTTAATTGTGGTGGTGAAGGTAGAAACAATGCTGCAAGATAAGGTGACCCAAAAGGGCCCTTCCTATCACTGACTCATACTAGCCGTATATTTCCCTGATTGCTTTGTGTTTTTTTCCCCTGACTAATTAGAGATTAATAAAGGTTTGCCCATTACAGCGTTATTTATTTATTTATTTATTTTCACTTTAAGTTTTATTCACGTCATCCAAATAACCATCGACCTCGTGAGTCACTTTACGTAATCCTTCCTTTTAATTCACCTTGAACAGGTTTCAAAGAATATCCCACGAATTCGCGTCGGGCTGAAATCGCTCCTGTACAAGGGTTATTAAACTCGATGACGTCAACATTGCCAGTAACTCAGATGACTTCCAGGCTGGTTGTTCTGTGCAGAGGTCGTCCCTCCCTCCGAAGCAATCGCCTTTTATGGTCCTTCGGGAGGGAGGTGCTGCTGAGGGGAACAGCGCAGTTGCGACAGCAGTAAACAGAGTATTCTCAACCAAGCTTGATGGGACATCCCGCCTCTCCCGCTTTGAACGTGAATTCTTATTGGCTATGGTCCGACCGCTCGTTAGTACTGGCAGTTTTAGCTGTCAGTAAAGAAACTGGTGGGGTTTGTTTGGCCTGTAGACTGCAGTGTAGGTGATGGGCTGGGCGACAAGTTCATGCGTCGAAGAAGTAGTTCTCGTGTTGGGAAGACAACAGCAACAATAACAGGCTATTTTATCTGATTCTCTCTTTAGTTTACGCGAGTTCGGTTTTCAAAAGTCACCACTGGCTGTTATTGTCAGTGTATTTTTCATTGAGAGGTGACTGTCGTTGACGAAGAAACTTTCCCAAAAGAAGTGACAAGGATCCAGGTAAGAGACTAGACTCGGACTTCTGCATTTAATACTTTTTCTGTGAAGGAAAAGGGCAAGTTGATGGATAGAAAAGCTTTATTTAGTGTTCATGTGTTACCAGAGTTCGCGTTATTGCACGGATATTCCGCCTGTCCGTGAAGCCACTGAAGTCGCTGCACTGTGTCTGGATCATAAGTTATTCATGCTGGAGAAACACGCTGTACCGACGGTATTACATAAGATATTACAGCCATACTGCTGTTTCACAGAGCTTCCGAAGGAGGCTTTCTTCTTTTCGTTACAATTATAGCCAGTACACAAAATGTTCGCTATTATATTGAACTTTTGGGCTTTGCACAGTCCCGTTGAACCCTGCCAGAGGATCCTGGCTGGGATGCAGATGTGGACCCAGTGAAATTCAGGCCCTGGTGTATTGTTTGACTCCTGGCTCCACGCCCATCTCCCTCCGATCTGCAGGCCAACGACTCATTTCTCTTTATTTAAATAAAAAACCCCACCTGTGAAGCCTTAGTAATGAGTAATAAGTATGAAAAGACTGACAGAGATCAGTTTTGAAATGAGTGTATCAGGATAACATGCTGTGATCCAAAAGGCATCATACATTATTATTGATATCTTGTCTATTATTACAATTATTATGAATAGTAATCCATGTCAAAACGTCGAATTACATTCATGATATGATAATTCACATTAGATATGCCTGGGGACAACTCAAAAATGGAAATTTGGCACGGTTACTGTTTTTTTTTTTCATCAAGGAAGTGCTTCCTGGAATATCGGAGATAAGGATAAAAGAACCACAGTGCTTTACCAGTAAGGCCCCATTGTTTATATGCATTGGAATGGGGATAAACACACTTGGTTTCTTCACTGATACTGAACAATGGACTTTTTTGTACCATCCGATATTGTGGTTTTCAGCCACAATCCTCGCCCGGCTTCAGTCAAGAATAGTGAAACGTGAGCTTTATTCAGAGTAATGTATCTATGAATGTGACTCGCCTGAAATGTGTTGGTTATGTGTCAATGTTCAGACATTAGGGGTCCATTAATGTATCAGATTACTGTACAAACTAGCGATTGGATGTTTTTGTTGTCAGCTCGAAACTATTGATGCAGTTAAGTTATTAATCATAAGTGAAACCGCATTGGGTTTTACCTGACTGTACGAGCAGGTCACTGATAGGGTTTTCCAGAGTGTGTCTTTTTTTTGGAGCAGCTTGATGTTGAGTGTAATCAATGGAGCACATTAAGAGAGATGATCGGAGATAGAGCGGACTGTCATTTGCCCCAAAAACACAATTTAAACAGCTTTTATTGACAGCAGCGTCAAATGTAACTGGTCATTTCAGAAGAGAAAGTGAGTTAGCATTTGTGAAAGCAGTGAGTTGGCACTTATTGGAGGTGATCCCCGGAGGGTTTTCACATGCCCAGAAATTCACACCATGTGTAAGCATCTCTTTCATGTATCTGTGAAAGAGGAACAATGATGACATGAAAAGTGTAACCTTTTAGAGTTCTTTGTTACATGAATTGTCATGTGTCACGTACTTGAAGAAGAAAAGAGCTTACTCATTTGTCAGTATCTTGCACTTTCTTGGCATACCTAATTTATTCGATGCACGATAGCATCTCAGAAAGTCGTTTTATACACATGCTAGAATTAACATTAGTGCTATCAGAAAAGACTTGAATGGCGTTGATAGAGACTGCAGTTAGTGTTGTTTTAAAACCCCAACATTGACTTATTTGTCAGACACAAAAAAGATTAAATATTTGTGAAATTTGACTGATATAGAATGCAAATATGGGTCCTAGTTTCACTGTATACGCATTAAAAGAGGTTATAGCTGTAGAGCTATACAGAGAAATAGCAACTTCTTGACCAAAGAGAACAGAAAGTACATTTTAGTGAGTCCTCAACATTATTTCTGTCATGCGTTAGACAATTGCTGCGTCTAAAGATTTATCCTACCACATCTGTTGCACGGCACAGTGTTGTGTAATCACACTGAGCAAAAAAACACTGTGCATTTGCATTGTTATGCACGTACTGAACGCGTTCTGATTTAATTTAGATTGGCGTGAAGGGAGGCATGGTGGTATTGGTGGTCAGCACCATCGCCTCGCAGCTAGAAGCTTCGAGTCCTCCACCTTTCTCTGTGGAGTTTGCATGTTCTCCCTGTGTCTGTGTGGGTTCTCTCCAGCTACCCCTCCCATTGTCCCAAAACCGGCGTGTTAGCTTAATTGGAGAGTCCAAATTGCACCACACACACATCAATGTGAGTGTGTGTGGTTGTTTATCTCTGTGTGGCCCTGCGATGGACTGGCGACCTGTCCAAGGTGTACCCCGCCTCTCGCCCTTGTCAGCTGGGATAGGCTCCTGCCCCCCATCCCCCGCGACCCTGTTGGGAATAAGTGAAATAGAAAATGGATTTTAGTGTTGGTGTCTTGTCTAAATTACACTAGAGAAGAGTGGGCCCTGCTTTTAAGCCAATGATGGGGCCTGTGGAGCCTGTTAACATGGATCGGATGGATTGTTCTGCCTCTGCCAGCAGGTGGTTCACCATCCCCGAAATGTTATTGCTCCAGTTGCACAAAAGGAATATTAAACAACTAATGACATTACAGTCCGTTACAGCATGCTGAAGTGAATGATCTTTTTCTCTTTCGAATCCATGGTCTGTTGCTTTCTGTCAGCTGAGAAAAGGAAGTGTGGTTTTTCTGTGTTTCTCGCAGGTAGTGGCGGGGCAAAACCTCAGCTAAAGATCTGTAACTCCTTTTTGCTTAGAGAGCTAACAGCTGTTTCAGTTTGCCTGTATTTCTTGGTGGAGGCGAATGGTTTCATTGAACAGGAAATGACTGTGCTGTATATGAAGCCTCCCATCAGCCTCTGACAGTTTTATAAAGAAAACGTGATATTCAGTGACTTCCTGCTTGTAGGTTTGGAGGATGTTCTTTTAAATAGGGGAAACTTTCTCTTTTTTTCTAATTACTGTTATGTGTCCATCAGAGACGTGCGCTGGATATCGTTTTTAATGCTTTTGTTGCCTTAATTCGTGTTTTTGAAGGTTTGAGGCAGTGTCTGTCAGGATGGCGCAGTGGAACCAGTTACAGCAGCTGGAGACCAGATATCTGGAGCAACTCTACCACCTCTACAGCGACAGCTTTCCTATGGAGCTACGGCAGTTCCTCGCCCCTTGGATTGAGAGTCAGGACTGGTGAGAAATCATTGAAACTTGAGGCTTTATTGGAAAGTGCAAAGCGACGTTTCCCGTTGGTTAACAAGACGCATTAAACTGCTTTTATCTTGCACTTCCTACATGCTTTTAGTCAGCCATGCTCTGATTTCATGATGATGGTCCATATAAAAAGCTAGGCTGTTTTGTTTTACCACGTACTTTATCTGTGGAAACCCCCTCAAGCGTGATGTGTGAAATGCTCTTGAATAGTTTTAGGCTCAGTAATTGCACTTTTGCAGATTTTTAAGGTTAACTCAGATTTTAAGTTGCGGTATGCTTTCTTTAAACCTTTCTTTTCTATGTTTTAAAAAGTTTCTCTTGTATTGTCAAGGTCTAAGAGGAGTTTATTCCTCATGGGAGGTCCTGTGTGAGAAGACCTGATCGTTTTATTTGTGTTTTACAAGGGCCTACGCTGCCAACAAGGAGTCCCACGCTACCTTGGTGTTCCACAACCTTTTGGGTGAAATAGACCAGCAGTACAGCCGTTTCCTGCAGGAGAACAACGTGCTCTACCAGCACAACCTGCGCAGGATTAAACAGCATCTGCAGAGCAAATACCTGGAAAAGCCCATGGATATCGCCCGCATTGTGGCCCGCTGCTTGTGGGAGGAGCAAAGGCTACTCCAGACTGCCACCACTGCTTCACAGGTGTGTAAAACTGCAGCAACTTAGCTTTCCACCTATGGTGCAATTAAAAAAACTAACCATGAGTGGGCACATTGGGTGGCTATTTTAATGGATTTGACTTGTTCTGAAGGACGGCCAGGCAGCCCACCCCACTGGGACGGTGGTCACAGAGAAGCAGCAAATCCTGGAGCACAACCTTCAAGACATCAGGAAGCGAGTGCAGGTTAGTTTTATGAGACCTCTTTATTATTTTTGACATGTGATTTGAATAGTTAACTTAACGTAAATCCTCCACAGGATATGGAGCAGAAGATGAAGATGCTCGAAAACCTGCAGGATGACTTTGACTTTAATTACAAAACCTTGAAGAGCCAAGGGGGTATGTCTCCTTTCTATCTTCTTCCTTTCAAAGCGTTTGCATGCGCATGGGTGTGAGGCAGCGTGTGCAGCTCTTAGGCTAAAGCCCCACATACTCTCCCTCTCTCAAGAGTTATCCCAGGACCTGAACGGAAACAGCCAGGCAGCTGCCACGAGACAGAAGATGGCTCAGCTCGAGCAGATGCTCACCGCGCTCGACCAGCTCAGGAGGGTGGGTGTTTTTACATTTTGCCTAAATGATAGAGAGACGGCAAGTATGACAAAGATTTTGAAGCTTGTACCGTCCCCACGTTCTTTTAGAAAACAAAGAAGCAGTAAGTGGTAGATTCGAGAACCTTAAAAACATGAGAAAAGGAAGGATGACCTCCTCACATCTAATGGCTAACCCTAACTCCAACAATAACACATGCTGCATTTGTGATCTTGTAGCAAATTGTGACAGAGATGGGGGGCTTGCTGACTGCCATGGATTATGTACAGAAGAATCTGACAGATGAAGAGCTGGCAGACTGGAAGAGAAGACAGCAGATCGCCTGTATCGGCGGCCCACCAAACATCTGTCTCGATCGCCTTGAAACATGGTAACCAGTTTAGAGATCAGAAGTACTTGTTTTTTTAAGAGTCTAATTTTAGTCAATAGCTTAAATAGACTTTCTGTAATTATTCAGCTGCTATATCGTTTTTAATGGCTAACTTATTCGGACCAACTTAGTCTGGACTTTAGTCTCCACCCTGCCCTCATAACCCATCAGGTGATGCATTAGGAGGCTTCTGACGTCATGTACTCATCCACCAGTATTCTAATAATCTTAAGAGATATTTTGATTTTTTACTTTTTATCCAGGATTACGTCCTTGGCCGAGTCCCAGCTCCAGATCCGTCAGCAGATCAAAAAGCTGGAGGAGCTTCAGCAGAAGGTTTCCTACAAAGGAGACCCCATCATTCAGCACCGGCCCGCTCTGGAGGAGAAAATAGTCGATCTGTTCAGAAATCTCATGAAGAGGTAGTCAAAGTGATTCATATTTCCACATCTGTGCCCACAATGGTCCAAAAATCTAGTTAGTTATAGATCCTTTTAGTGTTTTTTGGCATCTCTTTTAGAACTGTTGTGATGTGTTTTATGTTCCAGTGCATTTGTGGTTGAGAGACAGCCGTGCATGCCCATGCATCCAGACAGACCTCTGGTCATAAAAACAGGAGTGCAGTTCACAAATAAAGTCAGGTAAGCTCCAGGCTCATAACCCCATCAAAACCGGCACCATCAAAGCCTACATGCATATTTTTACACGTCAAAAGCAAAAGTCCTCATCATTAGTTCCTGAGTTTTGCCTGATGTGTTTTTGCTTTCTCTCTTTTTTAAGGTTACTGGTTAAGTTCCCTGAGCTCAATTATCAGCTGAAAATCAAAGTTTGCATTGACAAGTGAGTTGTTTTTAACCTTGCTTCTGTGGAGTCGTGAGCAGTAAGATGTGAAACTGAAAGAGAGATTACTGCTTTGCTCATTTCAACTGCTTATCTTTCAGGGAATCAGGCGACGTGGCTGCAATACGCGGGTAAGAATTCTGAACATCCTCCGAAAGCAGAGCATTCTTTTGTTTGATTTATGAGAAGCCTAATACTCCCCCCTGTGCCTCCACTTTCCCAGGTCTCGAAAGTTTAACATCCTCGGCACTAACACAAAAGTTATGAACATGGAGGAGTCCAACAATGGGAGCCTGTCAGCAGAGTTTAAACACTTGGTGAGTTACTGCCGAAAACCTCTTAATGGTTCCAACCCAGCTCCTAATGGCCTGCTTTTGGAACACCGCTTTCCTGTTTGTTGCAGACCTTGAGAGAACAGAGGTGTGGTAATGGTGGGCGCACCAATAGTGATGTAAGTGTTCACGGAGGGAGATCTCCTCAGCATTATTATCATGGAAGCTGTCATTTGCATGGATGAACAGGGTTTTCACTCAACAGTCCTCTTTTCCTCAGGCCTCTCTGATTGTTACAGAGGAGCTCCATCTCATCACTTTTGAAACGGAAGTCTATCACCAAGGCCTGAAGATAGATCTGGAGGTGAGTGTCCGGTCTCTGCTGAAGCTGCTTTACTGTCAAACAACTGGGAAAGTCTCCCGTCTTTAAGGCATTGTGACATTACACCGAAAATTGGTTCAATACTGTCTCGTGCGGGGTTGGCCACAGACAAAGAATAGCAATGAGTCATTTCTGAAGTCTCCCACCTTCAGTCTGTCACTGCCACAGCATGTAGGTGATAGTATCTGCAGGTAAACCTCCTCCTGAGGCTTTCCCTTACCACCGAGTCAAAGAGCAAGTCAATCCTTAAACCTATGAGCCCGTCAGTTAGAGTTGCTTGGTCTTTTCCTAATTCTGAACGTCCAGCACCATCATGTGCTAGTCCATCTTTTTACGAGCGTACGACAAGTTTCAATCCAAATGCCCCCCAAATCACTTAGATTAATTCTCCTTTCTTTTGTGCAGACTCATTCCCTGCCTGTGGTGGTCATTTCAAACATCTGCCAGATGCCCAACGCCTGGGCTTCCATCCTGTGGTACAACATGCTCACCAACCACCCAAAGGTAAGACAGCACCCCCTGATGGAAATTCTCTCAAGCCTGAAGAAGAACGCAGCCACAGAGGAGTCGTTAGATAGTTATGTCTGACCTCATTTAAAAAATCCCCTAAAAGCTGAGGTTTTTCTGGCGAACCAGAAACTGTTCAGACCTTTTAGTTCTCAGCCTCTGGAAAACCTCTGGAGAGGTTCCCCATTTCACTCTGATTTTTATATTAGTGATGATAGTCCAGGCTTTAAAGTCACATCTGTGTCCAGCAGGTCACAATAAATGCTTGAATAAATGATACTGTCCTGTTCCCTTTGAAAAGTTGCCTTCGATCTCCTTTGACAGAATGTGAACTTTTTCACCAAACCCCCGGTGGGCACGTGGGACCAGGTGGCCGAGGTGTTGAGCTGGCAGTTCTCCTCAACCACCAAAAGAGGCCTCACCATCGAGCAGCTCACCACACTGGCTGAAAAACTACTTGGTGAGATGTTCAAAACCGAAAGTGTCCAAAAATTCTTCAGGAGTTCTTTAACATGACATTGTTGCTTATGGTTCTTGCAGGGCCTTGTGTCAACTACTCGGGGTGTCAAATCACATGGGCAAAGTTCTGTAAGGTACGTCACATGACAAAGACGAATGGTTAAGTCCGCCTTCTGTACATTTTATGAACGTGATTGATTTACCTTCCTTTTGACAGGAAAACATGGCTGGGAAAGGCTTCTCCTTCTGGGTGTGGTTGGATAATATTATTGACCTGGTGAAGAAGTATATCCTCGCTCTGTGGAATGAAGGGTGAGGCGTCGTCCTTTGTTCTCACCTACATCCTTTTACAGAAATTGCTGGTTAACGTGGTGGAAACTGTTTGGATTTGCAGTGACCAGCTGCTTTAAAATGAATGCTGAATGTACTCTCCTGTTGCCTGCTCCCAGGTATATAATGGGCTTCATCAGTAAAGAGAGGGAAAGAGCCATTCTGAGCCCAAAACCTCCCGGCACGTTTCTTCTGCGCTTCAGCGAGAGCAGCAAGGAGGGGGGCATTACGTTTACTTGGGTGGAGAAAGACATCAATGGTGAGTTGTTTGGGAACTTTTCCGTGTTCTCTGCCGTACCTTTCCCCTCGGTTTTGATTCTGAGCTTCCGTTCTCACAGGAAAGACCCAGATTCAGTCAGTGGAGCCGTACACGAAGCAGCAGCTCAACAGCATGTCTTTTGCCGACATCATCATGGGCTACAAGATCATGGATGCCACCAACATCTTGGTTTCGCCGCTCGTTCACCTGTTTCCTGAGATCCCCAAAGAGGAAGCCTTCGGGAAATACTGCAGGCCAGAAGCAGCTCACGAGCCCGAGGCAGGAGGAGATTCCACAAGCAGTAAGTCTCCGCACCTCCTTCCGGTCTGCTTTCTTAAGAAGATCCCATTTGAATGGCCGTTATGCTAACTGCAGCTTTGCTATGGTCAGTAGTTTTTGCTAACATGTTTTCCTCTTGCAGCGATCCAGCCATACTTGAAGACAAAGTTCATCTGTGTCACCCCGTAAGTATTTGTGCCACTCCTCATGTACATTTATTCTGAAGTCATGATATTCACCCTCCTTATTTGCTTTAGTTGCGATGTTTGTTATGCTGCGTGCATATTTTCAAGACACAAACTTCAAAGTTTTTTTTCTATGGTACCAAAAAGAACTAAAGATGTTTATACTCTCAGTGCGCCGTGAACTCAGACAGTAAAGACTGACAGCTTTAAACTGGCCACTTTTGAGCACAAGCCATTTACCTCTTCACTATTAAATGAAGAAGTTGAACTCAATTAAATTAGGAAAAAAAACTTTTATTTCTATCCCATAGGAAGAGTGAGAATGGAATGGAAAGGTAAGAGCGTGGGATATTTGTGACTAATTAATTCTTAGTCAATTAGAACGTAATGTTATGCTTTGTTTAAAAAAGAAAATCAGAGCATAACATTAAAAAAAAAAAGCAACAGGAGTCTGAAAAGTGCTGCCGGTGGTGGGAGCTAACAGCAGGGAGCGCTGGGCCTGTGTTTACTGTGGCCAGCTGGAGTTATGGGTTGTGAGGTTCGCTCAGTGAGATCCTGACCTGTCTCCGTAGGTGTCCCTCCGTGTTCATGGACTTGGCGGACAGTGAGCTGCTTGGGAACGGATTCCCAGGGTAGGCAGCTCGGGGGGGGGGGGGGGGAGTGGCATGTAGGGCTGTGTGTGCATCCTGTGTCTGTGTGTTTTATGAATAGGCTTCACCGACACGGGAGCAGTTATCGCATCCACACCATGTCTGCTTTTGTTGTGCAACTCACAGCTGCTGCCCCTGGTTCTAATAGACGAGCATTTCCCAGCCATTCGTCAGTTTTTCATTTGTTTTCCCCTCATCTCTGAATTCCATCCAGAGCTAACTGCCTGCGTTATGGAGTTGTTTAAGGAGAAAATGTAAAAGACTTCAGATATTGGTAATATGCTTTTTGTAGCCAATTTCACATCAATAAATCCCTCCGAAAAGAAAATGAAAGAAACCCCGCTGGGAAAAAAGGAGAAAAAGACCAAAGAAAAGATGGAGTGATGGTCTGTTTGATCCACAAATTGCGAATCCATTTGTCTCTGTCGAGAATATCAGCAGGCGGCATTTTAAATATCTGTCCTGTCCTGTGAATATTTACCCAGTCTAACATAGTTTCATTTGCGTTTAAAAACAAACACACAAATAAATAGGTATTTTAATTTATAAGGAGCTGTTTAATTCACTTGCACGTCACCACAGAACTAACTCGAGCCCCATCCGCTGTTTTACTGCACCTGGCACAAATACTGCATCATCTAATGGGAGACGGGGTCTGATGGAGGCTGGTAATAAAGGGTGGCTTAGTTTCTTTCTTAAAGCACAGGTGAAATGATAATGTCTGCCCGTCTGAAGGCCACATCAGTGTGGTTGTTAGCTGGGACATGGTATAAAGTTTGTTCTTTTTCTCTCTCTCTCTCTCTCTTTACAGCACAAACTCGGGAAACACCAGTGACCTGTTCCCAATGTCGCCTCGCACCCTCGACTCGCTGATGCACAATGAAGCTGAGACTAATCCAGGACATTTGGGTGAGTCGCTAACTGTGCACACACCTGTAAAAGTGCTCGTCTGCATGCTGAATAGCTTACGTCCCTTTTTAGCTGTCACTGTAAAAATAAGCTATTAAAACTCCAGTTCTTTGAACAATGTTAGACGCCGTGTTTCACACATGCTCTGTGATGTATAGCTGTCTAGCATAGACCTCATCCAACCTGACCTTAATTCCTTGTTTTTAATCCCTCATAGAATCAATCACCGTGGATATGGATTTAGCATCACCCATGTGAAAGTAAACCTCCTCAGTTTCAGTCTTTTCGTCAGGATCTGACATGGGGATGGAATGATGATTTGTTTTTCCATCTGTACTTGCAGTATGTCTGTCTAAAGTCTTTGAAAAATGTTGTCTTGACGATGATCTTATGTTGATTTGGACTATAGTCCCAGGTTTCATCTAAATCTCTCCTTTATGTTTTTAAGTATCTTAAAACATTTATGCAAAGGAATTGTATTTTTGAGAACAGTTTATTTGTGTTTTCTTAACTTTTTAAATGTTTATTAACTATTGTTTTCTTTTCTTTGAATAAGAAAATGCAGTTAGATAAATCATTGTATAAGCTATGTGCTGCTTTGTAATAGTTCTGGTTTTGGATGTATTTTTTTCCCCACCGTGTTGATGCCAAATGTGTAATCACTGTAAGTGTGGTTCCTTCTTAACTTGGTTTAAAATGGTTTCTGTTTCATGACAGTTTTTACAAAAAATAGAATATATATTATATTTACGGGAGCAAGTGAGAATGTTATTACAGTGGAAAGAGATAAAAAATCAAGTCATTTATTGCTATCGTGAGGTTTTGTTCCTCTAAACTTCCTTTTTCTTTTCATCCAGTGTGAATTATGTCATAGTTAGTGTACATGCGGGGCAATTTTCTCATACTCACTTAAATTCTGTATCTCATTATAATTGGAGTTGCTTTTGAAATGTTTTGTTTTTCCTGATTTCACCTGATATGATGAGATGTTAAATGTATAAATGTATTTCATTATCAATTTGTTTCTGGGTGCACATACAGGATGTGTGTTGTATTTTTTTTAAATCTGATTAATCCAATTAGGAGACCGTCAGTTAAATGCAGTGCCTGCCACATCTTTCTTTATTAAAACTTGAAGATGCTCATTTTCTGCCACTTCAGTGTTCATCACCGGTGACACTGCATGTTTTTCATCCCCTCTGTTGGCCATGTTTTACTCTGATCACAGGTTTATGATTCAAATGCAGAAATATTTTCAAATCCTGGCTTTTCCTGAACAATGGCACACTGATTAACCTCCCTGTGAAAATAGCATATTACTTCAAGTGTAAATAAATTATTGTAATTGATCACTTTTGTCAACATGTTTTGGTTATTTATAAAAGGAATCGTCTCGGTATGGCGATGAGATTGTGATTCGAAACATGTTTTTAGCTACTTTTTCCTGTAAGCATGTGAAAATCACAGAAACGGAGGTGCTCAATGGAAAATGTACCCAAACATCCATTTTTTGGGTCGCGTTGGGAAGTAATATAAGATTTATCCACATATGAGGTGCATGTTGTGTGTAGGAATCTTATCCTTTTTATAATTTGGAATGTAAAAGATCATAGATGACATGGAGTGAAAAAATCTGGGCCTTTCAGACTATAGCTAATGTAAAACCCAGAGAGATATTTTGACTTGTACCCACTGTCTCTGAACATGAGCCACTCAGTGAGCCAATCAGACCTCACCTATCCTCCTCCTTTCGTGCTGAATAGCCTCAACCTTCAAATTGAAACTTTTGTTCAGGGTTCTTGTTTTTTATTGACTTCATAGTTCTCTTATGAACTAACAATGAAATAAATGACAGAATAATGTGCGAGCAGTACTCATTTCATTTTGTTTCCAAGCAATGAAATCTCTCCCCTAAATGACAGCAACAGGCAAAGACCAGGAACCTGGAAAGAGAAATTTGCACCTGCACACAGATCACTCTCAGGGTATTAATTCTAAAAAGAGATCAAAGGATTATTAACAAGGAGTGAATTAATGTGACATAAATTATATGAAGGTACAGTACAGAGAGCGTGGTACATGGCATGTACACATATATCTTTTTACATTCCTTTCACTCTCAAATGAAAGCAAAGTGTGTTTAGAATAAACTGTTGCGGCACAGAAAAAATGTTTCTTGTATAAACAAATAAAAAGGTGTCAAACAAACCCTCTGTGAACAGAGGTCAATGACGAGGTTTCTCTCCATGAAACTCCGATTTCATTTTGGAGATCCCACACACGACAGCCCAGACCAATGATGCCTTTTTAAAAAAAAAAAAGAAAACAAAATGGGGATGCATGCCCATGAGACCCCGGGTTTCATCTCAGTATTTACTTGACGTGTGAGCGGGTATCTTTCGGTCTTTGATGACAAATTTCTCAACAGTTGCTCTCTGGACTTCCCTGACTGGAAACCCCACGTGGTTGTGCGTGCACCTCCACCTCACGTTCAGCTGCTGTGGATAATCCTGTTCTGCTGAGACGGAACAGTAAACAAACAGAGGAAGGCCCTTTTTCAGCCTTACTGATCTTCTGCTTTTTCTCTGCGGCACCGCCTCTCCCCGTCGCCCCGCTGCTTCTGGTTGGTTTGTCTGGGCTAAAGGAAGCAAACCCAGAGGGGTTGACAGAGAAGAAGGAGGGGGGGGCGGGGTGAGATGTGCAGCTATTACCGTCAGCGGCTGCTGACTCAGCTGTCTGAGGAGGCAACTGTCACCCTTTCGGTTTTGGCGTGCATCCAGTCAAATCAGAGAATCAATGTGTGTGTGTGTGTGTGCGTGTGTGTGTGTGTGTGTGTGTGTGTGTGTGTGCGTGTGTGTGTGTGTGTGTTAGAGTGAAAGAGTGACTGCTGCCAAACCATGTTTAAAAACCTTTTGAAATGGATCAGATGATGATGATGATGTCATTATCTGTTGAAGCTAGATTAGGGGCTTTTGTCACATCAGTTCCAGTCAGCGACAGCAACTAAAACTTTCACTGGACTTTTTAGGTTTTTAACAGAAACTGTACCAGAATAACTATAGAAATAAAGTCATTTTGACATAAACTTACTTTGAGGTCAGACCATAATTATCTTAAATATTCCTTCACAGTTTTATTTTTACATTGGGGCCTGAATGTAACTGTTGGTTACTACTGATAAATTTATTATGATAACATTTATCATAATACATTTAAGAATACATTACATCACCAGTTGAAACACCAACAATATGAGAGCGGTCTCTCCTTTTATACAAAACAATTTCCTTTAATATTTTAAGATAATTTCTTTCTTGGCGTTTTATATACAGTACTTTGATATCATCAGTATTAAAAGCTGCTGTTTCAAGAAACTGAATGCCAAGCCTAATGTCTCTGCGGTTCTCATATGTGTCAGAATAATTTCCTTTTCAGGCATTAATAAAGTAATATTCACCTTTAGTCCATCCTATTTATCATGTGATCATTTCCTGCCACGTAAAGTCGATATTTTCAGTACTGCAGGTACTCAATTTTACACATTTGTGTCTCTTTAAGTGATGAATACTCTTAGGTTCAGCACCTAACAGGAAATAAGTGTTTTATCTTACTCTCGAATGGTCGAGCATGGTGGTTGTCTTATTTGTCATCTAATGGGAAACCTCTCACATGGGCCTCAGGCACTTATAGTCCTCTAACTCATCTGGACAGGTTTATCTTTAGTCTCTACCACCTCCTGTTTGTTTTTGCCTCTCCTTCTCTAATCATGAGAAATAAAGAGTAAAGTCACAAGTTCATTAGTTTCATAAAGCTGAAGCCTATTTGCAGCGATTAAAAAACCTGAAGGGACACGTTTAAAAAATAAAAATAAAACGTGGTTAAGTTTAGGCCAGCAGGCTGAGCTTAGGCTGAGCTCCAGAGGGTGTCACCATTCTCCAAGCTGAGAGATGAACGCAGAGAGTCAAAGATTTAGGCTCAAACAGAGCAAAAGCAAATGCTCTGTTTCGTCTCATTATCACTATCATTATCACTATTATTACTAACACTGTAATTATTATGTTATTACTATAACTATTATTATGACTATTATTATTGAATTTGTGGTTATTATTAGTCGTAGTTACGGTTAGTGTATTGTTTTTGTTGTTTTACATTTGCTGTTTGTATTCATTCATACTGTGTGTTTTTTTTCTTCTCAGGCTTACTGCAAAGCCACAATAACACACAACAGTTGCAGACAACACGCTCCACCGCACCGCCTGTTTTTTCCACTTCATTTGGGAACCTCCCCGTTATACCGAATAGCTGCCCTTAGAATAAAATTACGCTTTTTCTAATTCGCGCACTTGGCATAAATTCGCGTTAGGGGCCGTCCTCTCCACGACAACGACGACGACGACAACGCAGACCACTCGGTCACCGCCGAGACGCGAGATCCACTGAAAGTGACTCCAAACAGACGTAGAAGTATCGCCGGAAGTGGGCGGTCATTCAGCAGAGAGCCGAGAGACGGAGACCCGTGAACTGTGCTGTGCAGCGAAGTGTCGGGAGCACGACTGACTTGACGGAGACGTTCTCTTTCCCCCCCCGCCGAGGCTGGCTCCCGCTCCTGCTTCTGACCCCGTTTTATTTTATTTTATTTTTATGCCCGAGGACGGCAACTTCGGCGGCTCCGCAGAGGTGAGTTGCGCGTCCCGGCGCGTCCTGGCGCGTCCCGGGGTTGCGCTTTTATCTGAGCAGGGGAAGGTCCGCGCCTCGCTCCCCCCCCCCACCACCAACCCCTCCATACCCCCCCACTGCCCCCCCCTCCTCCTCCTCCCCTCCCCGTTGCGAAATGATATTCTGACAGCGGGTTTTTGTAAACAAACTGGAGCGCAGCAGCGCGCCCGGGGAGCCGCGGGTCCGTGCGTCGGCTGCGGGCAGGGAGAGACCCGGCACCGCGTTTGGGCTTCTATCTGGCGCTACTTTCCCCTCCGTGTGAGTGCTGAATCAACAGGCAGGTTTCTCTCCACAGGCGGGGGGGGGATGAATCCCGGTAACGTTTCGTTAGAATGCCCCCCGGCAGCGTGTGCGCGCAGCCAGGGGCTTACTGTCGCTGTTGTTTCCCAACTGGCAGGTTTATTTGTTTGTTGTTGTTGTTGTTGTTAGATTCCTTGCCTGATTTAGCACGCGTTAAGGTTATGGAGACACTAACTGTAATGTGCGCGTAAAGCGTTCGTCCGAATGTGTTGATGAGTCTCCTTCGTATGGAGGGATCTCGTTAATATTCGCTAGAAGTTTTATTTTCCGTCATCCCTCCCAGCCTCACATGCCGTGGACAGGCTCTAACCCCTTACACGATGCATGGAGCACCGAGGTGAAACAGACCTGGGTCGTTTTACGTGGCCAGAGCCTGCCAGTGAGGTTTGGTGATGCTTTTAAAGGGACTTTCTTCTCTTCTGTTCTGTTCTGTTATTGCTGCCGGGGTTTTTTTTCTTCCCTTTTTGAGGAAATAAGCTCCAGTAACGTCGCAGGTTTATTCATTCTTAGAGAAATGGTTGACAGATCATGACGTGACACCAGTTTATGCCTAAACATATCAACACTCAGTCGGTGGTTTAGAGAAAAGTTACTTTCACTTTGACTAATTTCCCTGTTGCTTGTGGTCAACGTTTGTTCAAGCAAAACGAAAAAGACCTTTCCTTAAATGCATGTGAAACGTGATGATAAAAATGTGGGAGAAGTCATTCAAAATAAACGTATGGTCCCTTTAAATCGATTTCTGGAATTATCTGTTGCAAAAGCAGACAATTACACCGTGAAGTGCAGCAGCTCATTCCCTGTCTGGTAGCAATTGTTTGTTCGTATGTGTTCTGAAAAATGCATGAAAGACAAATTCATAAAGGTCAGGCAAACTGTCACAGCTGGGGGGCACATCTCATGAATGGAGACTCTGGCGTTTGTGTGAACATGAAAAGAGAATTGTAAATGTCACAGATGCTTTGATGTGTCTGTGTCATTTCCAAGAATGCCTTGTGCTTTGCGAGAGTTTAAGCGTCCTTGTTTATTTGTCATAAATGAAGATAAGCTTGGCGTCTGTGGGAAACGCATGGCTCAGGGGGGGTTGAAAATGCTGTGCTGATTCCTTCGGTTGCCTGGTTGTTGCTCAACTTTTCCACTCCTCAAAGCAGCAGAGGTGCTCAGCTGGTGATACCGTCCAGTTTTTGGTTCTTGGATGTTTTTATGTTGTGCTGAACTTTGTCATTTGATCCTTTTTTTCCCCCTTTATTTCATAACTCTCCTGTTTGCCTCTATGAGAGGAGGTTTCAGAGCTGTCTGGAAGGAGAGTTTCTGTCAGTATTAGGGGGTTTGGGCTCGGAGTGGGACTTTCTCGCTGGACTCCGGTTTGCTTGTATGCTCCTCATATCCAGACCCATTGGCAGAAGTGGCGGTGGAGGAAAATAAGGGAAACACACTATTTCATCCGACATATTTACTCTTCCTTGCGCTCACAGCGTGACGCCTCCTGTGGCTTGATTGTGCTTCCAACTCATGCACTCCACACAGTTGGATAAATTCAGTGTGCAGTCAGGCTGGACAGGATGTTGACAAAGATGGAGATACTGTTGGTAATGAGATTATTTGGGTGAGAAAGCCAAGCTACCCTCGCAGCATCTTAAAACCCGCTTAGAGTTTTTATCGTTGTTAAACGTCATGTTTTGCACATTTTGCATTGAAGGTCTTGCAGTATGACCATTGTTAAACTTTTAACGTTGGCCTCCTGTCACTCTGAAATGCTCGGTTAAAAGAAAAACGATGAAAGACAGCTTTAAGTTAAGGTGGGAATTTCATTAGGCCTATTATCTGGTTTCGTGGTGATCAGTTTTAGCACGGAACGCCATTCGTGTGAACGACGGAGCAAAGTCTCTCCTGGACTAACGGGGATCAGATTTAAACAGAGCGAAAGAGAAAGGGAAACGTATTCAAAGGGAAGTGATCAGGAAGCATGTGGTGCAATGCAAGCTAACCTCCTCCCCCTTCCAGTTGAGCTAGCGCTAATCCACGGGTCACGTGACCACCAGCTTTTACCCCGGTCTGGGCCAGGAGTGCTCTGATCCATCTGTCGAATGCAGTTGCTGATTGTTGGCATCCGCAGCGCGGCCTGCTGTCCCCACAACACCCCCTGCCCCACACTGACAGGACTCCCTCAACTTCTTACTTCTGCTGGACTCCAGTCACATGAAACTCCTCCACCCTGTGTCGGTTACTCCTCCGCTACACTGCGTGCTTTCCCCCTATGTCAGGATTTGGTACTTTAATATGCCGGGA